AAGGTGAGATTGTTTTTTTTATATGACAAATCAAATTAAATTAATACTGCCTGATAATCTCCTTATTTCTACACTTCTATATTCTACAGAATTTACCTGAAAAAGCTAAAAATGTATGTCCTGCAAAAAACATAGAAAAAAAGTCAGGATTAAATATGAATGGGAGAAAATATTTCATTTTTCATTATCATTATAACATCCTTACAATTTACCAATATTTGGAGAACCTTTAGTCAAGACTGGTCGTCAAAATTTAATTTAAACAACAAATCTACCGGTGGCTGCTGCAGGACTTTCCTACACAATAATGTCAAAAATCTGTTGATTTCTACAGACAAATAAAGGCACAGGGTCAGAAAACAACACCTGGGGGTCACCAGGGGCATCTGACACGTGACCCGACCTCAGCTTTTCTCCCCTGATGCCCCCGTTGTAGGTAAAAGCAGAAAGAAAGTGCATGAAACAGATGGTGAAAGAGTCACTGAGCAGAAAAGGCTTTGAACAAAGACAGTGAAGATAAATGATTTGAACAAAGGCCAACAGTGAAGATAAAGGATGCGTAATGAATTTAAAAAAAAACAGGAAATGGCACATTTTATTCTCGGTAAATCAACGTGACTGTTGTATGCATCAGTGTCCGACAGATGGCACTGTAATGCATCTGAAATGGAGTTGTCGTTCAGCCTCAAATGACAACCTTTGTTCAGACTAAATCCAAGACTTGATTAAGTCACTGAAGAGAAAATGTCAACAGACGTGTGTCAGACGCCGCGTATGAAAAGTGAAAAAAAAAAACATTCTAGAGCAAAGGCCTTATGGGAAAAGACTTGATCTGCTTGTTGCTAGGCAGTTTAATGTGATGACCGTTAAAGCCACAGCCAGGGTTTGCCAGTTTAATTAACTGTAAAAACGCAATGTCACTACGTCCACACATATAAGCCAAGGTTTCATGGTAATAACCTGCAAAATAGTGTCATTCAGGGACAGATGGAAAGTCTGTCACGTCACAGAGGGATTAAATGTAAGTTTTTGAAGAGATATTAAGAAGAAGTTTGTCAAGAATGATGCGGCAAAGCCCTGCTGGAAGAAAGCAAGTCATTTTTAATTGAAATATTAAGGCATTTCGTCTCTACAATCCTGAACAGATATTTGTTCATCAAGGCACAATAAACTAAAAATATCTTTTTTTAAAAGAATAAATTAATATCTCACATTATAAAGTAGGCTATTTTGACTTCCTTGTTGTTTCTACGGCCTGCTTTTATTCAATTTTCATGCTATTCTGTGAAGAACTCCACATTTACGTGACAATCCTATTAACAAAAGACTAAATCTTCTTCCAAGTGTGTATTTCAACTGTGCCCTTATTTATGTCTCAGTCTGGGCGTCATTACTAAGACAAATTTCCTGTGAGGATGATCCTTGTTTGCCTCTTACAAACAGCATCATTACAGAGTGTAGTGACTACATGTGGCCTCCAGGCTTTGTGATGATCTTCGTGTTGTGACTGCACTCATTAAAAGCACCCTGTAGCCTGATAATGAAACATCTCTGAGTGCTAACTCACAGCGCTAACGGAGACACCGGAGTGTGTGAGTGCATACCTCGCTCTCCAGCGTATGTATTTCTCGGGGCAGCTCCACGGCGTGTCGGCTGAAGTAGTCCATGGTGATGGCGTTGTTCCAGTAGCTGAGGTTGTTCTCCTGACTCGACGACTTCTTCTTCCTCCTCATGCAGCACACAGTCAACAGCACAGCTACGAGGAACACAGCCAGGAGCAACAAATGAGAAGGGCTTTGCCTACGGCAGCGTGTGCTTCATATGAACGACCTGTGAAAGCTCCCGCACCAGCTGCTCGGCTACAACGTATTATACTTATACTACAAAAAAAGTGCCAAGAATAAGTCAAATTCTACTAGCAACATTTTGTTTAGCTATCAAAACAACTAAAACATATTACTTTTTGCCTTTTTATGTAACAAAAAATGTGTTTTTCTTTCTAAAATGGTTGCCCCAAATTTTCACCAAAGTCCACTGAGAAAATTAACAGTTTTACATCAGCCACAGTTCCTCAGTTATGTACCTGCTGATAGTTATTTATTTATTGGTAATTTTGTCTTTACTTACAGCACGAGGACACAAACACACTGATGGCGAGGACAATCCACACAATCTCCATCCTGCTCAAGCAGATCATGACACGGGCGGGCGGGGAGTTGATGGTGGGGTCCGAACTGTTGTTGTAGGTCCAGGGGTCCTGGGTGGTTGGAGGCACCTGTCTGTTTGAGAAGTTCTTGCTGGCAGTGTAAGGTGCTTCGGTCATGTTCCCCTTGGTGGAGACCTCCACCGTGCTGCCGTTTGACGACAGCCCACTTTGTGTAGTTACGTTCACCATCCACCGTCCGAGACTGGGACTGTCTGTAGCATTGGCTAAGATAACCTGACCGCGGTCGCCCTCCGCGGTGGTCTCGTTGGCCGCGGTGTGGTTGTCTGGAACAACTGTGGAATTCAGGGATGTGAGGCTCGGCTCAGTGGACGTGACCGGGGTGGACACAGGGGGCGTCTGACTCCCCTCCGGTGTCTTGAGTGAAGGAGTAGAACTTGACCCTGCAGTGAGTAACAGCTCATCTGTGGGGGGTTCCTCCGCTGCATGCACTTCCCGCTGGGTGATGCTGTGGTGGTGTGACGGCGCCACCTTTTGATGAACACCCCGGGCGTGCTCCCTGAGTCTCAGGCCACGTGCACGGTCGCCAAGCTGCTGGCTGAGGTCCTGGAAGGCAGATGATTGGATGTTCATCCTTGGATCCACTGTGCTGCTGCTGCTGCTGCTGCTGCTGCTGGTCTGGTGAGGGATCGCTGCAGGGAGCCTGACCACCGTCTCCACATGGCCTGGGTTTACACCAACAGAACTGGACTGGTGCAGCTGGTCAGCCCAACCTTCAGTGTTGGCTGTGACAGTGTTTGTGTCATGACCCAGACGGTCTTCTTGAACCCGGCTGGAGACGTGGGCAGTGTGAAGCCAGGCTGAAGGAGGGAAAACGGCAGTGCGGGGGGTGACGTTTGTGGGTTCAGCACCTCCTTCATACGTCCACTCCCCACTGGTGGACCCTTCGTGATGCCAGTTCATTTTAGTGAGAGATGGGGGGTTGTTTTGGGCAGCTGCCATGGAGACAGAGTCCTGGGATGTGTGACTGAGTTTGGGATCCTGTGCTGACGACACCAGTGCCACTGGCAGTGCAAGGAATGCTAGAACATCTGTGGGAAGAAGAAAAAAAAATCAAACTGGTCACCAGGGAATAAAATTAACCACACCTTCAGCCTGACTAGGTCAGGAAGCACAAAACAATAAAAAAAAAAAACAAATGTTCCTCAATAATTATACATGTGCAATACACCCATAGTCCACAAGAGGGAGTTATGTATTTTCACAGTCATTATTTCTACCATAATCACCTATTGTTTAGCAAAGAGAAATAGATGGAATTTAGCAAGGGATTGCAACGTAAGTTAGCAAAACTATCAATGATATATACACTATAAATAGCATGCTAAGCTAACCATCTGGAGAAGGCCACAGCAAGAAAAAGAAGCTAGCTAACAATGGCTAAAAAAGGCTAACAGTCCTGGCAACTGATTGGGACTAAACTTTTGTTAATTTATGTGTTTTTTTTGACTAAGTTGAAACTAAAAAATAACTTTATCACTATTACTATTATTATGACCTAAAGTTGTAGTGACATTGGAATTTTTTTTATGTGTTCCCTTAAGTCAACTCTTCAGTGACGAGCCGTTAGCAGGATATCAATAGCTCACATTAACCAGATGTTGCCCTGTCGCTTATTACCCCCCCACACACCACCCTTCTGTCCTTTATTGACACTGTTACACACAGTTAATGCGAGACATTAGTGAAGCCCTTATCTGGACATTGCAGTAAAAGCCTCTTTAACTCACGGGTCCATCTGAACAAAGCGTGATAAGCCGAAGAATGCCAGAATCATTAAGACACAAATATGAATTTATTAGCGACAAATCCACCAATGAGTGGAGGCGATATGATGCATTAAGGTTTGACCTTTAAGAGCTGTCGCTGGAGCGGTGCTCAGAGGCCAATCGCCTCTACACTTATTAAGTTCAGCTCTGAAAAGTCATCACAAACCAAAGCGAAAAAGAAATAAATTCACAACGACGCTTGGTCTGTAACGACAGTTGAGAAAAGGGAAAAAATAATCAGCAGTATTTTTTTTGTATCTATGACATTTTTGGCATATTTACTTAAATATAATCTTCCTCTTCTTTCGTTCACCATGACACTGTAGTGACATCACAGTAGGAGAGCCGACCATTTTAGCTCCATCTCTTATTCATTAATCATATTCCTCCATTCTCAGACGGCCAGAGGAGAAGGTCCAGGTCCTGCCTTCCATTAACCAGGCCTGTCACGTTTCTGTGATACACAAAGCCCACTCCAGTCCAGAGTCATATCTGAGATGAGACACACACACACGCACACACACACGTACCATAACTGATTTACGAGCGCCCGTCTTTGCCAAGATAATCATTGAGGTGAAGGGAAATGGAACACGGCCGAACCCAACCTATTGAAACTGAAGTGTCTTGTTGATCATGTGAGGTCACAGTAGGACAAAGTGTACAGACACGGACACACACACACACACACACAGCTTCACACTCATGTTTCTTCCATCTCTTTAACCGTTCTGTCATGGACATGAGGAGTGACTACAAACACGGAGTGATTTCTAACGACCACAACAACGACTACATCTGGAAAAGCGGTAGAAGTTGGAAATAATGTTGACGAAACGTGCAGCAAAAATAGAAGAGAAGCGTAAACACAACCTGAAATACTAGAAAATATTATGTAAAAATTAGCTGAAGGCTAAACATCATTGAAACCACACTTTAAATGTTGCTAAATCTATAGAAGGCTAAACATCATTGAAACCACACTAATATTTGTTCATTTAAATGTTGCTAAATCTATGAATTGTCAAATAAAAAAATTGTCATGAGCTTAATAAAAGACACTAATAATTCTTAACTGGAAATAGCTAAAGGCTAGCCAAAAAAAAAGTCAGATAAATGTGAAATTATATCAAAAGCTTTAATAATTGTTACTTTAAAAATAGCTAAAGGTTAGCCAAAAAATAGTAATGAACTGAAAGTATAAAGGAGCCTCAGAATTAGCTAAGATGGCTGACACAAACAGCTAAAATAAACTAAAATATACTATAAAAATATACTAAAAAATATAATTGATCAAATTTGGTCATGACAGATTTATTAGTGTTAAAAAAAATCTGTGTTAAAGAAAGTGATTGACTGTTTACTGCCGACAGTGGATCAAACACCAAAGCCACAAGTCGACCCCCGACCCGGAGGTTTAACTTTAAAAATGAGGACGAGGCAGAGGTCAGCCCTCGGTACCGATGATGAGAATTTACACTGGGTCCCAGCTGAAGTTCATTCCCTTCATCAGTACCCAGAGTCACAACCTGGCAGCCTCACGTTGCTGCTGAATAAAACATTAAACCAAACTCCCTTTACAAATACACTCATTAAAGAATTGGACAAACCAAACACACACACACATCATTATTATTCAAATAATCAGAACTCGTGAGATTTTCCTGTTTATGGACTAATACTTATTTAGAAGATAATAAAGATAACATTTAAATATTTAGGGGGGGGGCGTCTATGTGCAGAAGTCTTAGGCAGGTGTACACTCACTTCAGGTTAGCAAAAAAAAAAAAAAGCTTTTTTCTTTCCACCCTGACTTCATAACATCTCGTTCCACTTTAATCCCTTCCATTGAATGACACGTGTGTGTGTGTGTTTGGTTCACACACGTGCTGAGTCGCAGCAGGAGATAAATGTGTGTACGCTGTCACAGCATCTGTGCTAACGGCTGAACGTAGCTGCCGGTTCTGCTGCCACAAAGACACGATGCTGAGAAACAGGTGGAGGAACAAGAGAGGAGATTGAACAGAGCCCAGGATGAAGAGGGAACGCTGGGGAGAATATGAGGAAGATTGAATGGGAGACGGGAAGAATGGTGAGGTCAGAAGAAGCTGGGAGATTTATGAAAAGATGACCAGAGATTAATGGTGAAGGAGGAGGAGGAGGAGGGTTGGAAACGGTCGATACAGCTGATAATTACAGATGTCTGACATTAACTGTTTGCCGATATCTGATACGCCGATATTTTCCAGAGGACACATCTCATTGTGTGCAGTGATCTGGGCCAAACTCAGCCGTTTCAATATCAATAACGATTCTCACTGATATAACGTAGATATTCTTTAAAGTTTCTACAGGAAAAAGTGAGACATACAGAGTCTACAGCAACAAACAGACCATGAAAATCCAGAAGATTCTTATCTTTGAGAAAGTCTTGGACCAACAGTGGAATCTCACAACCTTCGAGGAAAACCAGTGAGGACCAGTTAAGACCAAATTCAGCATCTGGTAGTAGTTTGTGAAGATGTTTATCAGAATTATGATGTCAAAGAAAATTCCAGCTATGATTCAGAAAATCTGGTGGTTTTAGAAATTTTAAATTAAGTCCAGAACAGACCAGTCTCTCTGTGAGGATCCATCTTAGCACCTGGGCGTTTGGGAGGAAGATGAAAGAAGTTTATCGATGTAAAAACAAGGACGAACTTCTTCACCGCCAACAGCTTCTCTTTTTAATCTATTTTTTTTTCGCTTTCTTTTTATATCTGATCACCAGCAGAAACCTCTGATCAGCATCTGTTTTTATATCCTGTTGGAAAATTAATCATTCTCAGCTCTTTGAACCACATCATCCTTGAAGAATGACATCACAGACCAGCAATAACTGAGAGGTGTGCTGGTCCGAGGGCAGAAGAATCACTTTTTTTCACTCACACCGACCTGCTGCCCCCTCCTGGATCTTCATCACCCACCTCAACATCCCAGAACAGAACAGGCTAAAATCATGGAGACAAACAAGGCTGAGGTGAAATCCACGCTGAGATTTTCTGCCTATTTATATGACAAACGACTTCAAGCTGTTTTCCATTTGACAAACTCGCTGTGTACACGGGGGGAGATGGAGGGGGGGCAGGGGAGGGGGGGCAATTTATGCAGGAAACCTGCTGAATGAGGTGGTCCTCACTTGAATGCCGACGTTCCCTGACGTCCTCCACTGATGTCACCGGGGACATCAATAAATCATGTTTGTAAAGTGGGATCCTGTTCCACTACAGGCTTTGTCCTACGTATCATTCATCGTTAGAGTCAATGTCACAGGACGGGGAGGGGGGGGATGTAGAGAGAGATTAGAGCCCCCTGTCGTCTAGTCTTTGGTTACCAGAGAAGATGGACTAAAACATACACTATGACCCTGCTGATGGAGGCACAGCCTACCATTTAATATCATGTCCAAACCATGGTCTACAGTCCTGCTGATGTTCACCGCGTCATGACTACTATCTGCTAATCTGCTAAAAATGAGCCAAATTAGCCCAGAAGTTAGCTAGCAATTTTCTCATAACATAGTATAAATTATTCCCAACGATGACCAGTAGCAGCAATTACATTTTCAATAAATGGAATTTCCTCAAATAGGTAAAAGTAAAGCTCCTGCAGCGACCGGTGAAGCAGTATAATCTGCGCTTCTTTCTTTCCAGGACTCAAAGTTACCGCTGTTTGAACATGAATGGTGAAAATCTGCCAATGGAGCAGGACCAGGATCCAGGCGGGTTGTGCCGCATCGTCAGCTGGCAGCTGGCACTGGCACTATTTGAATAAGAGACTCAACAGGGTTGGCCAAAAATAGAAGCTGCACAATCATCCATCAGCCATCGGCTCGTAACGGTCGGCCGGGCTTTTCTCTCTGAACTGTCGCTGCTCCGTCGTCCGCAGGGACAGAAAACAACAGACGAGCAAACGGTCCAGGCAGGAGAACCTGGACGAGTCAGGCCAAGGTCACCGGAGTGAACCACTCCGACTGCTTCACTGATAACAAACCCGGGTTAAGATTAAATGTCCGTGAGAGGCTGCCAACGACGGACCGCTGTCTACACGTGAGGACGTGTCCTCCTGGTGCCAGGGACAAGACTGGACAAATGTGAAGAACGGCATCTGGTGCAGATGCTGGTCCAAGGCAAATATGTGGCGAGTAAAAACGGAAAGACGGAAACAGAGAGAAGGAGGGAGTGGGAGTTCAGAGGCGGCGTGACTGAAGTTTAGAAAGAAACTTCTGCAGGACACTGTTGTGACTGAAATGCACCAACTCTTAGTTATAGATATATATTTATATTGTTGTATATTAGTATATCATTTCACAAATAAAGAGCAGGTGTGAAACACTAACCTCTAGCTGTTGATTTCAACCTAAATACAGGAAGAAAAAAAAAGGTTTTTGTCATATTTGGAAATGTTGATTTGTCTTAATTAATCCTGATTAATGTCTAGGGAGGGTTGATAACAGTGATGGGGTAAATATATACGTAAATAATATAATATCTCGCCTCTACTTCACTATTTTTCCCATTTTGCAGTGGGTCTTTGAACGCAACTACTGCAGGAGCAGCCGGACTAACGAACTAAACCCTGACTGACTCACTCCCCTGTACTCATACTCCTGTTCTCTGCTCCTGTTGACTTAAAAAAAAAAAAAAATCTTGCAGAATGATTTTTCTCTCTGCTGTGAATCATTTCTGACGCCTCTCTTTAACAAAAACACACTCTCCTTGTGTTGCAAATCCAAGCCTGCACCTGGCACTGGCAATTTTAAAATCAACACTTATTCATCACTGACCACTGAACGAGGCTGGAGTCACGCTGCCGCCAACCAAGGTTAGACAAGCAGCTGTGATTTTGAAATACGGGGAAGGAGACGCTGCAGCTGAAGTGTCGGTTCACACCTTTCTTCTCTGTCGTTCAATTATCGCCGACGCAACGAGAAAACAACGTTATCTCGGCCGAGCCGCTGTCAATTTCTGATCACGTCGAGTTCTCACGTATGAGGCCATTAGGAGAAAATAGAAATATTAATAATTCATGTGCTAACCTGGTGTCAAGCGTGAGTCACAGACGCTTCTTCTTCTTCTTTTTTTTTTTTTTTCCCTCGTGTGTTGATGAGGTAGAAAGAAATGAATCAAAAGATTTAATTCACACAGAGTCTGTGATGAAGAGAAGGATAAAGATTGGTCTTGACAGACGTCAGACGTCTGGGTGTATAAATAACCTCCTCTGATGAGCAGCACAAACAAACACATTCTTTTGGTCGGTTCTTGGGTGTGTTCCTCTGCCACTAAAGTGTCCGTCCCCGGGGGGTGGAGGGAGGGCAGACTGATAGGGACACATCCTGTGGACGGCTGGGACCGTCCTGGAGGAGGACTGGAGGCGGGGAGGTGGATCTGGGCGGGGCTCTGTGATAAGGAGGGGAAGCTTTGGTAACAGCATAATGGCTTCCTGTTTAAAGGCTCGCAGCGGCGTTTGAAGAGCGACGTGTTTATCTGAGGATCGGGCCACGGGAGAATGTGGAAAACAGGCACACCAAAGAGCGCCGTCTCTGTTTACTGGGGTAATGACTGTGACAGCAGCTACGGATCCAACAGGAAGTGGAACCAGCAAACAGGAAGTTGCCTGGAATGCAGAGGGGAAGACTGGACCGCTGACCTCCAACTGGTACTATTACTGTGACCGTTGACGGCTGCAGCGCTCAGGAGTGAATGTACTACAGTAATGAAGTCTGTTCTATTCTGCTCGACTCTATCCTGGCATAGATAGATATTTGAGGACCAGATAATGAAGACAGGAAATGGCAGCCGCGAGGGAGAAGGAGAAGGAAATGACGCCTGTCTATTTTAGTCCCCTCCTCTTTCTGTGGCGTCTTTTTCTGCCTGCAGCCCGAGGCGTTTATGCACATCTGTCTCCTGCAGATGGCGGTCCTCCAGAGAGACGGAGAACTGACAAATGTCTCTGTGCCGCTCAGGTCCACGGATCTCAGGTGGGTTCCAGGTGAACCTGTTGAAGGTGAGAGCGTGGGATCTCAGCTGGATCTGAGGGTGGACGACACGGGTCTCGCTTCACTCACTGTACAGTATGAGGGACCCAGACAGATTTGGTCGCAGCCCTGAGGTAGAGCTCTGGGCCGTGAACCCAGAGAGTGTCTTCAGCTGACTGCCCAGGAGCCCAGTGGGTCCCTGAAGAACCCAGTCCTCCATATTCATGTGACATTCTCTCGGCTGGTAAATCCATGTAGATCCAGTCGCCAAGCTGTGATACCGACCTCTGAATATAAAGCAGTACAGACATGGAGTACAGACAAGGACCTGTAGTGATTCAGCACCATGAGGAGGCTGGACAAGGACGGGACCAGGACCAGGACCAGGACCAGGATCTCTGTGGTACATCATTGTTGACACACGGCCAACAGGAACTGTAGTTCACATAGTATGATTCCATTTGGAGGAAAACAGTCCATAAAGCAAGACAGACGGTGAAAATAAGAGGACAGTGTGACTGAGGCGTCTGGTAACTGGTGACATCACTGGTACCAAAGTGACTGCAGTGAACCACGTCTGTACCCTGAAGTACTGCGCAGAGATAAAGTATTTGTACTTAAGTTTCGCCCGTGAGACGATGTGTTCATCAGACATCGGCTCGTCACAAGTGAATACTTCTGAAGCCTCCACCCCCCCTCCTCCACCCACCCATCCCACCCCTACCCCTACCCCCCCGGTCCACTCACTCAGCAGCTGGCAGCGCAGGACCTGCAGGCTCGTCTTCATGGTATCATGTGATCCGGCTCCTCCTCCACAGTGCTCATGGCTCTCTGGTAAAGAAACAAAAATACAAAGGTATGAGGAAAAAAAAAAAACATCCTTAGTATTCAGGTATCAAATACTTTTAATTCATGGTAACACACTGAGATAATGTCACGGGTGGGTTTGAGTGGAGCTGACAGAGAACAGACTCCGACGTCTCCACCTGGACGATTTAATCAACGAGGAGGAAAACGGAGGTTCTCCTGAAAGGAGATGGAATTAAGAACATATTTCACTGTAGAACTCAAGACTGTGGAGGAGGAGGAGGAGGAGGAGGAGGAGGTGGTCAGTCTCAGCAGCTGAGCTGCAGATCAGCGCTGACATCCAACAGACTGTGACGCTCAGTAAACCAATAACACAGCATTAAACACTGACCGCTCCGCCTCGTCCCGAGGACGACACAGGCGGTGTGTCGGCAGCGCCGGGACCCCAGGGTGCAGTTTAGGAGAGTGACTCACTGATGGCGCTGTGCTACATAAACGGCCACTGAAACACACACACATATAATCTCCTTGGATCCCAGAGGTCTAAATACATCCTCCCTCTCTCTCTCTCTCTCTTTACACCTCGGTGCAAATGCCCTTGGCCGACACACACACACGCAGCGCTCCATAAACAGACATGCTCTCCTGAAGAAGGGTATTCAAACACACACACTCGCTCACATCACCCCTCGCCCCGCGCCTGAATAAATAATCCTCCCTGAGCAGTGTGTGTGTGTGTGTGTGTGTGAAATTGGATTTGCGTCCCCCGGGACCAGAGGTTTGGTTTCAGCAGCGATACATGTTCCAGTGGGGCATATGTGAGATGAGAGGGGCAAATACAAAGGAGCAGCGTGGTAATCCTCCACAGTAGGAGTGTGTGACTGAACTGAACTGAACGCCCGGCTCCTCGTGACGCTGCTGAGGTGGCAACCTTTGAAAAAGTTATCAGAGTAATAACTCTGCTCTTTTGAAGTGCGGCCGTTGACTCCCCCCGACCCTCATTTTACTCCACCTCAGTGAAGCGAACACTGACACCACCATTTTAGCCACACAACAACCGGGAGCTGAACGGTTTTTATGTTCACTTTTATATTCCTGACAAACAATAAAAATAAAAAAAACAGCAGCAGCTTCACAGCGGCTCCAGAGTGGATTGATATGCAGCACTTTATTTCCCATCAGCGCTCAGGTCCAATCACACGCTGCCAGCACAGTTGCCAGGCAGATGGAGGACTTGAGTGTTTCATCCAAGGACTTGGACGAATAAAACGGTGGACCAGAGAAATGAACCCCACACCGTGGGCCGGGAGACACACCTGTCAAACCCACTGACCTACAGCCACCTACAGGACCAGAGCCACTTTACAGAACAATATAAATGACTGCTGACACGGTGCTGCGATTCAACTGGTTCCTGAGACCATGAAGGCATCACTGCCGATGATTTCTATAAAAACATGGACCTGTCAGTAAAACCCGTTTGAATAGAGCAGTAACTGTGATTTAGCTGTGGGCCAGTTGTTGGGCTGCTGCAGTTTTTTTTATACCTAGGACAGTGAAGGCATCGTTGGCTCTGATTTGATGAATTATACTATAAGAGAAACCTGAAACCGAGCAGGATGAGAATATCTGGTTCATGGAAATAACTTTTGGTTATATGGATGGTGGATTATCATTATTCCCAAGGACAGTGAAGGCAACATTAGATTCACTTCACACTTGTTTCCTTTAAGACGTCCATTTGAGTGCATTTAAAAAAACAAGCCCGCTATCAATTCATCCATCCATCCATCCATCCATCCATCCATCCATCCATCCATCCATCATGATTTTTGTAATTATATTTGACTTGTGTTTTTCGCTGATGAAAAAGTAAAAAAGCATGAAATAATCTCCTCAGCGGGGTTTCAAATGACAAATAGGAGAAATCATTTCTCTCCCTCTGCTCTTGGTTCCACTCCAACATTAAACTGAGAGAAGGAAATGGAGAGAAAAAAAAATTGAAAGTAATAAACTGGCTCTCGGTGAGAGAAGGGCAGGGGGCGAGGGGGCAGGAGGGGGAGAGTTGGAGGAGGGGGGGCTTTATGACATATGCACAGAGTTTTGTTTACAGGGCAAGAAAAAAAAATTCAACAAAGATGCTCGCTGAAGTCGCGGCCGTGACGTCGATGCCGCGGCCTCAGTTGAAGCTGCAGGAGCGGTGGCTGCGGCGGTGACTTCCTCTGCCTTACATCTGTCCCAGGCTCACAGCAGCTGATCCACTCCAGTCTTTCTCTGCTCCTTCTTTTTTTTTTTTCCTGACCTCACGGTCTAATGAGCTCCAACGGCAGAGAGTGAAGAGAACATCTGAGCCTCTTCAAGGTGATTACACCTCATCAGCCGTGCCGCGCCGCCGCAGCCTCGTAGACACGCTCTAATTTGCCATTGGGGTGAAGCTTGAGGAAGGGGGAGGGAGGGGGGTCTCATTCTTTCATTCATTCTTGTCAAGTGATTACAGAGCAGTGCAGAAGGTTTTCTCTGCTGCACCCTGTGGACCAGGAGCTGAATCACCGCTCGGCTCTGAACACGTGCAGCTACAAGATAAGGCCTGACGACGAGTCGGGGTCACGCCTCCGACAGAAGACGGCGGACGGGACGTGAGGTTGAGTCCCAGCTGCTGACGGGTTTGTTTCTGCAGCAGTGAGCCGTGAGGGTGTGTCCCGTGGAGACCCAGGTTTAGGTCCGGTACCTCGGGCTGACTGGGAGAAGAGGATTATGTCTTTGTCGGTGAACTGCAGACTCCACGGAGCTGGCTGGAGGCTAACAGCACACTGAGGCAGACAGACGTGATGAGTGGAGTGTGAAAAACGGATTTATTTCACTGGTAATAAACTTCACACTTGTTCAAGTGTGACTAAAAAAAATCCCCCAGTGAAAATTGATTGACGGACAAAGTACAGACGGATGAACTGCTATCAGTGTCAGTGGTTACTTTAAAAAATAAAGTACAATGACAACCAATCAAAGGTGTTAAATGTAGATCAGATGAACGCTCATTAGCTGATTGGCTGAAGCTACTTTACTTCCTCAAGCACAGAAAAAAAACAATATTACGATGACAAGTCATGAGTCAGGAATTAGGATTATTTCTAATACTATTTTGGAAAGTTTTCTAAAATCCAGAGCCAAATATAATCACAGCCTAACTGTGAATGAAACAGAATTAACGACCACTGTAATTAACCACAACTAGTCATGATTAATCGAGATTAATAAACATTCATAAATATGACAAAAACCTTTTTTTTTGTATATTGATGAGAAAGAAAATGTCAAATATCATAGGCTGTTCTTACACAAGCTGGGCCGCTTACCAGAGGTTGAGCCTCTAAAAGAACATGCTGGGAGTTGATGATGGGATTTTAAGAATCTGGAGATTGTGTATCAGATTAATGACTAGATGGACAGTGGAATTATGGGATATGCAGTCTGCCCTGGAGTTATAGTCTTTAATTTCACTAATTAATTAACGTCATTCTGAAAACAGACGTCAGATAATCACAGACGATGACCAAACCATGATAAAAAACAGACGTCAGATAATCACAGACGACGACCAAACCATGACGTCCACGTCTCAGTGGAACTGAAATATTTAAACGTGAAAACACAGATTGAATGAAAACCAACGCCGTCTTCAGCAGCGACGAAAATCCACAGGTGAAAAAAAAACCCGTCCAGCGTCAGTTTCACACACAAACGCCAGCTCTCTGCCGAGGAGGAAACTAAAAAGTTGCATGGCAACTGACATGCACACAGACGGCAGCCATCGCCATAGCAACCCTAATGGTACACCATATTCAAATTCAGACGCGAGGACATTTTGGGGATGAAACAGAGGAGGGGGAAAGGGCGAGGGGGGGTGAATTAGGTGAGAGAGGGTGAGAGAGACTAGTGTGTCTGAAAGGTGGGCACACACACACTGACGGACGGACGGACCACTGACGGACCACTGACGGACCACTGACCAAAGCCAAGGTCAATTCCCAGTGACGGCATGGGGAATTAAGGTTGTCACCCCCCCCCACCCCAGGCTGTACAGCTTTTCTTTTCTTCTGGACTTTTCTTCTCTACTCTGTGGTCACCTGTAGGTGTCCTGCTGCTGCCTGACAGCTTCACCTTAACAAGAGGAGAGGCGAGGGGGAGGCAGGGGGGAGGCAGGGGGGAGGCAGGGAGTCAACAATAACAGTGTGAAGTTCACTCTTTAAACCCACGCTCCTCTTCAGCGCAGCTTTGATGTCAACACACACTGTGACTTTTCTCCTCTCACAGAGCGGAAGGAAAATTCATGCCAGCTTCAGTCTGAGGAGGAGGAAGAAGAGGAGGAGGAAGGTGAAGACGCCGCGTGACAACGTAACAAATAAGTCCGTTTGGCTGATGTACAGTCAGGGGGCCACGAGCCTTCATTGGCCCACGTTTTACGTCCAGAATGTTGGCCATACCTCGTTACCAAAATGAACCCAAAACTAAGACTTCCTCTGGTCTAATTGGTGTGGACCAGGGATCTGGCCCGATTGTTATGGACACATGGAAATAGACTAAAAAAAAAAGAATTTAAATGTCAACAAAAAAAAAACAGGGAATAAACAACTCTGAGTAAAACAATTTAATGAGCTTCAAAGAAACGTTCTGACGTTTTTTTCCAAATTCAGCCCAAAATGTCGTTTTTATGACTGTTGCATTTTCGAAAGAACGACAAAGAAAAACTCGCTGATTACTGCGAGTTCAGGAGGCGCAGTACTCAAATCTTAAAGACTTTCCACCCATCAGTTGATGTACGTTGTCTAACGAGGAGAATATTCGTCTGCTGATGAACAGACTGTTAGAAACACCGTAGGACACGGACGAACTTTTTCAGCAGCAGCAGAAACAGGATGAATGAATTTCTAACTCTTTCAGTGGAGAACTCCCACTCAGGAGGAGCACAGCACCTGTTCTCTGGGGCCAAATGAGGAGGAGGAGGAGGAGGAGGAAGAAGAGGAAGA